ATTTATTTGACAGACACAGCGAAGAGAGGGAACACAAGCAGGGGGAGCAGGAGCGGGAGTGGGAGCGGGAGCGGGAGCAGGAGAGGGAGAAGCAGGCTTCCCTATGAGCAGGGAGCCTGCTTCGGGGCTCGATCCCCTGGGATCATGATCTGAGCCGAAGGCAGACGCTTAACCACTGAGCCACCCAGGTACCCCCGCCCTTTTTATTTAAGATGAGATGTCCTTTGAGCAGTTAAAGTCGGCTCCTTGTTGGCTTTATGTTTTTTTTTTTTTCTGCAATCAAAAGATGCTTTGCCTCTTCTATTGTCTGTTGCCTAATTTTATATATATAAATTATGAACTTCTCAGGATTACATTTTGCTTTCCTTTTGTTTTCAATTGGACTTTTTTTTTTTTAAAGAGTGGGGGAGAGAATCTTAAGCAGGCTCCACACCCAGCGTGGGGCTTGATCTCACAACTCTGTGATCATGACCTGAGCCAAAATCAAGAGTAGGACCTAACCAACTGAGTGACCCAGGCACCCCTGGACAACTATTTTTGGCAAATTCCCTGGTAGTACAACATGGTTACCCCAATAAATAATTGGCATATAGAAATTATTGGTGTAATCTCCCCTACTCCCTTAATGATAACAGGCGCACACACGTTAACAGTGCCAACATTTTTGTGTAAAACCAGTGACTAATTCACATACATAAATCAGTATAAAGACCTTTTTGTGTGAACTAATTTGTAATAAGGCCAATATTAGGGACAAAGATTGGAAGAAAGCAGACCGAAAGGAGTCTTGCAAATATATTAGGATTTAAGCACAATGGGAAGCCACTGAGGGGCTTGAAGCAGGTAACTGAATGCAGTCAGATTTCAATCTCATTGACTGTATCACTGACATTCAGATTAGTGGTGTGAGCTGGAGATCTAAATTTAGGAGTTCGCAGTAAATGCTTAGAAACAAGCACTGGGAGTAGGTAAGAAAACTTGGAGAAAGGGGGCGCCTGCGTGGCTCAGTCATTAAGCATCTGCCTTTGGCTCAGGTCATGATCCCAGGTCCTGGGATGGAGCCCCGCATCGGGCACCCTGCTCAGCAGGAAGCCTGCTTCTCTCTCTCCCATTCCCCCTGCTTGTATTCCCTCTCTCGCTGTGTCTCTGTCAGATAAATAGATAAAATCTTTAAAAAAAAAAAAAATTGGAGAAAGGATATAGATTGAAAATGACAAAAATTCATAGGACTGGCTGAGAAGCCATCAGAAGCCTGAGGAGCAAGAATTAGGAAGATAGATGGAAGATAATTTTTCCTCCCCTAAGAGTGTAGAGTGTAGAGGGATCCTGAGAGTAAAAACCACTACCTTAAAGTTTTAGAAGGAAAGAATGGAATAATAGACCACAAGAGGAATATTTGGTCTTGGACCTAGACAGGTAATTCCTTGAGTTAAAAAGGTAAAGAGGATGGGGCGCCTGGGTGGCTCAGGCCTTAAGCGTCTGCCTTCAGCTCAGGTCAT